TGTGTGTGTGTGTGTGCGTGTGCGAATATTTAATTTTCTAAAAGAACCACAAATAAATAAGTGTGTGCTAATTATACTGTCTGAAAAATAATCTAAGATAATGATAGAAGAGACGTGAATTGTGCGCTCGAGCGTGTGTGTGTTTGTGTGTGTGTGTTGTGTGTGTGTGTGTGTGTGTGTGTGGTGTGTGTGTGTGTGTGAGTGTGTGTGTGTGTGCGTGTGTGTGCACATGCACCTCCGCAAAGATTACGTTGAGCTAAGCCAGCAAATAACAGCAGCAGCAGCAGCAACAACAACAACAACAACAACAACATCAACAGTTTCCATACATGATACAAATGTGTGTGGTTGGCGGGTGGTCTGGTGTAATTTACTTCTTTTTCCTATCTAACAGTAACATCTATCGCCCTGATCGTTCCTCCTTCTTTTTTCTGTTTGCTCTTGTTACTATCTTGTAAAACCGCTAATCTTCGGCACTTATATGACCCTATTGTTTTGTAAAATGCCGTGAAATTCTTACTAATACTTTGGGGTTTTTTAAAAATACAATGTACCCACAAGTCTGAAACATTTCCTTGCAGCAAAATAACAATGTGTGTTTGTCTGATTTGTCAACAGATCGTCCTTCCTGGGATCGTGGAGATGGACAAAGTGTCAAAGTTCGAGAACTGGCGTGAAGGTCGTGGGGGTCATCGAGGACTCAGCAAAGACGAGTGGATATCGATAGAGGAGTACATCACAGGTACATTTTTGCTTTTGATGGCAGCTTATTCAAATATTGCACTGAGAATTGGGAAGTTTCGTTGGAACATGTGTCATTTAAGCCAACCTAGCAAAAACATGTTCTGTGTTTTTTTTTCATGAAAAACTGATTATTGTTGCGAAAAACCAGAAAGTCATCCAATGTAAGGCCAGTTTGTTTAATCCCGGATAAGTAGGCCCCTACAATATGTTATGTTTATTTTGTCTGGTTTTTCTGGTACGGTAGGGTATTTTTAAGGGAACAAAGGCAGCAGAAAATAATGAAAACCAGTTGCATTCACCTCTAGACAACCTCCTGATTTATCGTAAGTCTTTTGAATCTGGTATTATATTTAGTGTTTGCGTTTTGTATCTAGTACCGTTGATAATCGGTCTGTCAACTTTTGTCTGTTGCTTTGCAAAAGAAGCCCGATTGTATTCATGGGTGCTGGTTGAGTTGAAAGTATAAGTCCTGCCCGATTGACCATTAGTGGCATGAGCCAATGACAGTTTCAAGCCTGTATCAACCAGAAACATCGTAGTAGACCTTCAACTGAAGCAGTTATCGGACCTGCCTGGCGGTAGACTGTCAACCAATATCTGTTCTACTAAACTAGTAAAGAAGGCATTGCTATCAACCGAACAAGAAACATTGCGGTAAACCTTCAACCAAACGACACCTGTTCATGTGTTTCCTTTTCACTCAGTCTAGTTTGCGATGCTGTTGTAGTGTAATGATGATGCTGTTGTACAGTATAATAACGATGATATTGTTCAGTATATTGGCAATGCTGTTGTTCAGTATAATGGCAATGCTGTTGTTCAGTATAATGGTGATGCTGTTTTCCAGTATAATGACGATGATATTGTTTTGTTCAGTATAATGACGATGATATTGTTCAATATAATGGCGATGGTGTTGTTCAGTATACATGAAAAGGCGATGCTGTTATCCAGCATAATAACGATGCTGATGTTCAGTATAATTACGATGCTGCTGTTCAGTATGATGACCGCCACACCTTCCCCACCCACAGGCCAGATGTCTCGCTATTGCCCCTGGTCCACTTCCCGAGACGTTGATGACGTCGCGCACTCCGACGACCTACAGACCTTTTCTCACTTCACCTACATGCACAGCTGTGAGAGTCTGGTGGCTTGTGACTTCCAGGGTGTGGTCAGAACTAAACAGTCGTCGAGAAAGACGCTGTACATTGTCACTGACTCCATCATACATTCTAGGTAGGTTGAGAATAAGTTAAGATTGCTCCCAGTCCTTGTGTCTTTGGTTATTTGTATTTTGTCACAAAACATGCTTGACTGTGTTTTTTCCTTTTGCGCACAGCAACCATTAGCTGTCAGCTCTGGGTCATTCATGGGTTGAGTTTGAATAAAGAGAAACACGAACACACTAATAAGATAATGGTCATAATACAGTGCAGGAAGAAATAAAGACAGACAAGTTGAAACAATAGAGAGAAAGAAAAGAAGATAGGATCTGCCAGTGGTGACTTCCAAGCAAAAGTACTTTTTGTACAAGTTAAATGCTCTTCTGGATTCAAATAAATACATGTAGATCATTTAAAGGAGGAGAACATTGCTCAAAGGATAGAGAAAAGAACAGGAAGGAAGGAAAATAGGAGATACATTGAAAGACATGTCACACTGTCACCTTTATGGGTGCACAAACAAAAAATTATTCTACTCGCCGACAGAATAATTTCTGAAGCTGAGGCATGTAAATGGATCTAAGGGTTTGTTCCAGATGTATAGCATGTGTACATGAGCTGGTGACTTTTGGGTGTGAGTCTGCTTCTGCATTTTCCTAAGAATTAATAATAAATGATTACAATAACTGCAGTTGTGCAGTGTATATCCACGCTCTATGGGATGCTCTCTGCGCTTTACAACTAGTTGTACCATGATCCCAGCAGATCAAAGAACACCCAGAAACACTCTCTGCTTCCCAGGGAGAATACAGCAGAGTACGTGCTCAAACACAAGCAAACTGACAAGATCTTTTGCCTTCTGTAGCCAGGCAAACATTTCGATCTGGATGAGGTGAGGAAATTTTGTGTACTTGTCTTTCCCAAGCACACAACATGGGGCCCCTGATGGGATTCCCAGCGACGACCTAAAATTGGTTGTGAGCTCAGCAGCGTAACCTCTAGACCACCAAAGCCACATGGTTTGACCTAAACATTAACTTTGGGTTTTTTATTGTTTGCAGATACAAGATGTATGGAGTATTTGACAAAGGGGACTATGGCATCACTGAGTTCTTCAAGCTTCACAAATGCACTGACATCTGCAAAGACTGGCCCAGACCCACTCCACTAACCCCACCCCCCTCCTTTGATGACGCATGTGCTGCTTTGCTCATGAACAACATTACCCCTCCCCCACAATTTGAAAACATTGTGTTCCCAGCCTATCAGGGAGAGGAGGGAGCCACTGGTGGTGAGGGTGCGGACGGGGGCCTGAGCAGGAGACGCCATCGAAGCGCCAAAGAGGTCAGACACAGAATAAGGCCACAGGGTTCAGACCAGCTTGAGGTCGAAGAACCAGAGAGTTTGAGGAGGCGCTCCCACAGTGATGCGGATATGTCTCTGGCCTCATACCTCATGCACAGACATTTCCATGAGTCTGTCGATGATCCGAACGCAGCTGTTATGACTCCTCCTCCAGCATATGAGAGTGTGGTTGTTCCTCCTCTGCAAGATGTCGCTTCCCCACCTACGAACAATACAGTAGTGCCACCGGTACACCGAGACACCACTCAAGATGTTTCTTCTGAGACCGCAGTGGCTCCAGAAGCTTTGAGTAGAAAGTCCTCGTCAACCACAAGCTCGATGGATGAGCTAGCCAAGGTTACATTTGCACTCTCACTCTCTGATGAGAATTCCATTGATGACTCTAGTGTGTGGCAAGAAGATGAGTTTTCAGGAGCCGCTACTGGACATGAGCATGGGCATGGGAATCCTAAATCCGGAGCACAGGTGTCGCAAACATGCATGCCACCATTACTTCCCCTGGGTGCACAGCGACCATCTGGCAGTTCTGGGTCATCCACGAGGAGTTACAACAACGCTCAACATCAAGCCTCAGGCTTTGCGGCACAAACAGCAACACAACATCGAGTCCTCGCCAAGAGCAACAGTGGTGGCGATCACAACAGGTTGTACATGGCAAGGCAGGCGACCAATAGACATAGACATGCTAGTGAAGAGGCAGCCCTCCGGGGGAATCCACACAGCTCCAGCTATTCTCAAGGTGTGCGACAGCACCAAAGCCTCAGGCATGTCTTAAGCAACGAGGAAAGCTCTCTTAACCGAGAGGTACACAGAGTGCATCGAAGCGCTACAGACTCGTCGATACAGAACAGTGATGGTCGACCACGCAGCATCAGTGACGCAAACGCCCAACTGAGGCGAGCGGCTTCTCCGTTGATGCAGAGGAGAATGAACAATGAGCGTGAAAACAGCTCTGAGGAGAGGCGGAACTGCCAAGAGCTGCCCACACTCATTGTGCCTTCTGCCCCGCCCATGGAATTTTGTGATGTTTCCTTTGACACCACTTGAAACATGTCTAATAACCTGGCTTGATCACACAATAAGATAAAGCTTAATGATAGCACCAAAAAAGTACTAATACTGTACAACAAATCGTGTGTGAAGATTATTTTCTTCAATCTTCCCCACTAGATACTTTTAGTTATCAGAGGTAGAACAGGGACACTTACTGTAAGCACTTCAACGCATAATGAGATGGATTTCTTCTTAAGATCAGTTAGAAGATCGTAACTCAAGAACATGAATATGTTCCGCGTTATTTATCGATCGTTAAGATTGCGCTGCGCGTTGTAACGATCGTATAATTATATCATTTTTGTGAGCTCTTCAGTTTCATAGGTTAATTTTGATTTTCCTATTTTTACACTTTTGAAAATATATGTGAATGCTCCTTGATGTGAGTAAAACAATAAAGATGGAAGGGAATTTTTAAAGAAAATTATTATTTCAAAAATATAAAATTTTACCACAATCCTCAGATTGCAGCGCAATTATATGACGGTTAAATAGCATAGAACAAATACAAGTTCTAATTGCAACTTGTCCTCAAGAAATGTATTCCATCTTTAAGGATACTGTTATGATGTCTCAGCTTTGAAATTAAAAGAAATGTTTTGCTGAGCATTTTTCAGGCTCCTTTTATCATTTTAAGTCAGGTAGTTGACATTTACATGTTCCTTACACTTTGATGAAATAAAGCTTCAAGTAAAGTGAGTGATCATGAACACTTGCAGACGTTCAGCATCCTGTGGGTTCATGCTCTTCATCCTAGGCTATCTTAGATAGATATCTGGAAAAAAAGCCTAGTCCTCATCGGACTAATCCGGTCATCTCAACCCTGAGTTGTAGAAGATTGAAGCTTTTTTGTTTGTTTGTTTATTATTTATTGTAAGAATTATGTTAAAGTGTTTTGTAAATGATTGAAATTGTGGAAGAGAAGTAAGTCTTTTATCGGAGATCGCAGGACTTTAGTGGGGGGTCAAAGCGACCAGTGACTTTGTTTGACACCAAGCCATATAACATGAAATTTCTGTTATCCCAAAAGGATCTCAAATCCGCAGGGTTTTTTACCCCCTCTTTATTCTATGCATTGCAACTTTCTTGAATATGACATCTGCTTAACATGAAGAAATTCTCTGGTCTCATGAAGTTTCCGTTATCAGGGTTTCACTTTATTTGTAGATGGAGGAAGTCTTTATCATACTTTTTGAGGTCCTCTTTGTCGTGTTGTTTAAGACACATTGGGAGGAAAAGGTTGCTTAAAGTCCTTCCAGCTGATTGTTGGTGATTATCAAAACGTTATTTGTCATGCTTCTTGCTCAAAGATGTATACTATTACATGTACTAACAGACTCAAACTCAAATGCATTTTCAATGAAGATGGAAAACCACTTTTATATGTACAATTATGTGTTATAACTGTGTTCAACGATAATAATATTGATAATAATAATGATAACAATGGTAATCATAATAGTCAAATGTGCCAATGTAGCACATCCTTACAGGAAAGTAGGCTCTGTACATTAAAGGTCTACAGTTTATTCAACTGCTGGTTTTTTAAAATGATGACTGTCTAACCCATGACCTGTATTATTGCTCTCAAAGTTGATGCTGTCTCTGTCATGCTTCCAGTAGTTCCAAACAAGATTATTTATGTGTGTTGTCTGGTCAAAACAAACTTGCTTTGAAAACTTTACTGTTCATTGCTGGTATAAATTATGAACCTTCTACATAACCTGAAATCTGTCCCTTAACCTCTACTCATGTATTTATCTATTAATTCATTCATTTATTTATTCCCGTATTTATTTATTAGTACATTCATTTTTTTACTCGCTATGAAAATTTCATTGATCACTTTTCTGCCGTTGAAACTTTTACATGCATTGTGTTGTTTTCCATATGAATATTATTGTCTTTTGGTATGACACATAGAAAATAAACATATTTTTAAAAAGCAAAACACTTTTGTTGCATTTTTCTAAACAGATAAATGGTATTCTTATTGGAACAATGTTTATACCCCTAGCATGAGCATGATCCATCCTCAAAACTAGGGGCACTTCACCTCTTGTATCTCAAGGACAAGGTCTAATTGTAGTTCTCAAGACACCAGAAGTTTAAAAAAAAAAAAGCAACAATGTTTTCAAAACGCGTGTAGAATCATGTGTTTAGGGTGGCAGCGCACTGTGTGAGAAGTCTTCTCAGTCAACGAGTGAGCAGAACTAGTAATTTTTATTTATATGGACTTCAGAGAACATAAAAAAAGGAGAGGAAAATCTGTGAATGTAAAATGTCATGGACCATTCCAACCCATAAATATCAAACTGTCCTTTAACTTTTTAAGTACTGTCATCATTGTTTAGAGAAAATCACAACTTTGGGGTTTTTTTAGATTTGCAATATACATGTAATCACTCTTTTTCATTCCTCTTGTTTTTTGTTTTTTATAATATTAAAAGTGTCATTAAAAGTTTAATAATTTAGTGAAGTATGTGATTTAATCGTATTGTTTTGATTATTTCCTAAAGTTTGACAATTTGGCACTTGAAACAATGTTGTTTTCAAGGGTCAAAAAACAATCTGAAGTAAGATAGATACTGTCTGTGGGAGAGAAAATTAAAAAGTCAACAAGAAATCAGCAGCAAGCACCGAAAAATTCATTAAACAATGTCAAAGCTCCATTCATCATATCACAGGTTGACCTTTGCGTAAAGAGAAGCACAGTGACACAGAACCATCAGTCAGTGCAAGGAAGAGCCAAGACAGTTTTTAGTTATAGTAAGAGTTTTACGGCACTTGCATAACAATAAGGTCATAAGTGCCGAAGATTGTTTTTTTGTTTTTGTAAGTGTTTTACGGCGCTCGCAACTGCATACGGTCATATGAGCGCGCGGGACACATTAAACTTTTTCAGTTGGTAGGAAATTTTGAATTTTGCCCAGGTGGGGGCCGAAGCCTATTCTTATCGATTTTAGACCACCAAGGGATCTTTAACGTGCGCAACTTGCACACGGGCCCTCCGAGATTTTTCGCCCATGTCCGAGAAGGCTAGGTGTAGATCTTTCCTACCAGAAGATCAGGGGTGTGGCTGAATGACAGCAGTAAGAAGCCAAGGAGAAGCAGTAGAAAGGCTGTAGAAAGAATCAGGCCCAGAGGAGGGGGGGCAAAGGAGATGATGGAGTGGGGGCAGAAAGAGGAGACGAAAGCAGACGACAGAACATTGCTATAGAGCAGGAAAGAAGGTGAAAGGAGACAAATTTAGAGAAGGAAATTTTGCGGTCAGTACCCGGATTCGAACGCGGGACCTTTGAATGAGAGGCCAACACCTTAACCTCTAGGCCACGAGAGCCCCCAGTGCCGAAGATTAGAGGTGTCACAAGAGAGTAACAAACACAAAAAAGGAGGGGAGATAAAGACGATACATGTTCGATAGGAAAGAAGAAGCAAACCACACCAGAGCACCCGCCAACTACCCACAGAGCTAAGACAAATACATGTAGCAAAAACAACAGAACTTTAAAAGTAAGATCAGACGATGAAGAAAACTTTTCTAAAGCTGTTGAGCTTACAGCAGCTTAAAACTTTGTCAAACGTGGCGATGAAAAGCGCAGTTGTGAAGCGACAACGAGTGGCAGTCAGAAACACATCAAAATCAAAGCTAAAAAACACAGCCAGGATGTTGTTGTAGAAAACATGATTTATTCAGTTTAAAACACAACGTTATAAAATACAAGTGATTTTGCAATATAGCGACTTAACACTTTCTTATTATGATCATGTAAAAACAAAGACAAAAAAAAAATGACACAAAATAAAGAACAATTAAATTACAAATGAAGTTTGCAGAATCGCCACACTATTAAAATTGATATAACATTCAAGGTCACTTTTTCTAGAATAATTCGAAATGATGAGCTCAAGTAACATTCCTCTTATCCGGTCTCATGAATACTGTCTACAGTGACTTACACAAGTAAAAAATGTAACTTTCATAGAGCAACATTGGGCCATTGGTATAATATTACTGCTCTTGTCTTTTTTCATGTTCAGACATTCAGTTATTTCATCAATTACTTTTCGTAAAAAGATGAGCAGATAGTCACATTGTACTTAGACAAGGAACGACAACAACTACGACACAGGGTCAGGAAAGATGATTTCAAAAAGGTAAAGAGAAAAAAGTATAATATGGTGATAAATTACAGTGCAAAAAGCTGGTTGAGAAATTTTGAACTACTCAACTGTTATACACGCTCAGCCAGCATGTAGACCTTACTTTGGTTGAGAAATTTTGAACTACTGTTATACACGCTCAGCAAGCATGTAGACCTTACTTTAAAAAAGACAAGGAAGGCAGAAGGCTGCGCAGAGAGAAAAGAATAAAAGAGACTGACATTTTATTTTGGAACTAATTAGAAACATATCCACAAAACTATTACTATCAGTATCATAGTACATGCCTACTGCCAAGGCCCAAGTCAGGGTACAATAAAAGTCACACTTAGCCAGAACATACGACAGAAACTTGGAACAAGAAGTAGAACATTAATTTAGTTGTAGTTGTAGTGAGAGTTTTGCAGCATTTGCAACATTATTAGGTTATACAAGGGCCGGAGGTTATTGATGTTACTAGAGTGCAACAAACAAAGTGAAGAAGAAACAGGAAGAAAGGCAACGGATACGTCTCTGACTGATAGGAAAGAAGGAACAAGCCATATCATATCTGAGTCTGAGTGCCTGCCAGCCATCCACAAGTTGAACGTTTGCCGGAGCAAACTGCACTATCAACAGTCTACAGCATTTACAAGTACTATGAAGTAGCAGCAACAGGCTGAAAAACAGACAGACAACACATAGAAACAGATCTATAGACAAAAAAGGAAAAAAACTTGATCGTTATCACTTATTGAAATATTGAAATAACAGAAAAAGAAGAAACGACACCTCCCCGACTACAACCTAAGGACCCAATGGTCATAGACCAAGACATGGACAAAAGTATTTCTCAATTCTCTTATTTCTCAAACGCATCTACACAAAGTTTTCAATTTCATTTCTCAGTGAACTCATTAGTTTTCAACGAGAACACAAAATCAGTTAAGCAGTCGTCAAGTTCAAGAATTCTTCTGCAACAAACAAGAATAGTTCTGAGGGGGGGGGGGAGGGGGTGTGTGTGGTGTGAGGGGGAGGGAGAGGAGAGAAGAGGGAAAGAATGAGCATCCAGTTGATTATGGCAACTTTCTCCATGATCATGACTGTATGCCAACTTACTTACTACACCTACACAAGAACTTTGGGACACTTTCACACAGACATTACTCATAAATGAATTTCTCCCTCGGAAGTGTTACCGCCTACTCACTATGATAATCCTATGCATCTACAGGACTATTTTCACAACGTGACCATCACTGACTGTTGTCTTAGTGTCTACCCGTGGTAGCAAAAATCTAAACAGCGTTTGTACGCATGTTCATGTACACATTTTTTGTGTTGAGATAAAGCGATACAGGTATTGTAAAGCATCTTGAGCTGTATTGTATAAACGTGGACTATAGAAATGATCTGCATTATTATTATTATTATTGTCAGCTCAGTGCACAGAGAAAAGTCCCCACATTGCTGAGTTTGCCAATCATCTGCAGAAAGTGAGCATGGTGCCTAAAAAAATAAAAACTCTGAACCTAGACATAGCATGTATGGCTAACACACTCTTCATATGTATACCAATGATAAAATCTCCCTCACTAACTCAGTCTCATGGTCCTGTTCAATAATAATTTTAAATGTTCCCACATCATATTCATAGGCCTATCCCCCCCGCCCCTAAAAAAAACTGAAATTCCATAAAGCTGAAAACAAACTAAGCTAAACGTAGATGGCTGATTAAAAACGCTAACAACAGTGAATCCAAGGATGAATCTCTTTTTGAGCAATGACTATAGAGTCAGGAAAAGATATGGATGCAGAAATGCACTCGACAGCTGATTGAATTGATGAAGAAACAAATTTTTTTACATGTGGGGAGTCAACGATCTTGCATATATTATGATGACAGGTACATTCTTTTCCCTTTCAAAACATTCTCTGGTCGTCATGCGATAAGTTCAGTAAAACACAAAAGCAAAAAAAAAAAAAAAAAGTATCATTTGAAGGGCTGCACTCTACTAGTACTAGTTACTAAGAAAAAGAATCTTTCAGACCATAATCCAAAGTCCACACTTCAGATGGTCTTATGGGCACTAAAGAAAATATCTAAAAAAGAATTTCTGATGGTGGATAATGGACACAAATTGATGGTCTCCATCCTCTAGGCCTCTACTACAGTCATCATTGACTGCACCAAGAGTACATGACATAGGAGGTAAATTCTGTTTCTGATCTATCAGACTCACTACTTGCAAACAGATATTATATATATATGCATAAAAGTAAGCAAAAGATGAAAGTTCACAAGGTTGTAAAAACGTAACTTCAATAAGTCTCACAAACCTCTCCGGTGCTCACCACCTGACTTTGTTTTACTTACAGACATAAACATAAACATATGTAGTGATGATCCCATAGAGTTGAGATAAAGCTGAACGCCACAAGTAAATAACAGGTATTTACAAAAGAGAGCAAGAATTAAACACCAGTATCTGTTGGTACTGTGCCAAAGATATCTATAAGATGGGTCACTCATCAGTTTGAGAAATGAAACAAAATGTTTCTCTATGGAGCTGGTCACAATTAGTGAAATATTATTTGTAGGGACAGAGCAAAGATTGTTGAAAAAGATAACTCACTCTTCTTTTTGATTTCATCAAATATCCTGATCAGCATCAGAAGCAAAATTAAATAGTAAAGTGGACTTTTATAGGGAATGAAGTACTTTTAAACTATTTGATCCAATTAAGCAACAGGAAAAAGGTGGCTACCTAGAGGACGCCAACGGCGGGTCCTTGTCCCGTTTCTCCTCTGTCCCTGTCTATCTTGCTCTCCCTCATGCAACAAAACGGCTGTTGTGTCAATATGCTCTTAACTCAATTAGGAAATAGCCTGGAACTTGCGATTCAAAAAGGCAAGCCACTCAGTAGCGCTCATTACAATCTTCCTAAGCATACATGAGCGGTCCTCACACAAGCAGAGACATACACAGCCAGGGTAAACATCCATGAACAATGTTTGCAACTAGTTATTTCTATACAGTAGAGTAACAGTAAAGCCGTGCGATTCAAAGATGGGGACTTAATTTAGTTGAATCTGATACAAAAGTTGAAAATCAGAGACAAAAGAAGACATATTTTGATTTTGCCAGAAGTGACAGAAGCACAAGACTCACAAAGGCTCATAGAGTTGGGTCCACTGCATGATCCAAATTTGAATGTATAAAGTCTCCTCCTGCCCAAGAAGCACATAAGATACAAATGTAGCTCCCGATTTAGAGAGAAATTCAAGTATACACTGCACATTGTTCAAAAATGACCCACTGTCATTTTAAAAATTAAATGTATTTCCAAAGTTGTTGTTGTTATCAATCCAGTATGTATTTCCAAGAAGAGACAGGTCAAGTTGTCAGTATCTAATTGAGCAAGGTCAGAGTAAGGCTGTTCAACGACAGAGTATATCCATGGAGTTCCGCTGTAACTGTGTCATGTTCCCTCCAGTTAAACAGCAGGAACATAACACTGTCAATACCATAACATGTTGGAACATTATTTTCTTTTTCAATTAACGTAGTCGTTTCTATGCCCATCAACACAGCTTCGATCAATTAGGAGGCTAGCTTCCAACTTGCCGTTCAGGGCCAACAGGGGTTTCGAGGGATTCGACGTCCCAGCACAAAGTCAGATACCGCACTTAATAAAAATTCTCTCCACACAGGAAGTGAAACTCTGTGGTCTTCTACATGATGTGACGGCGAAGCGCCCAACTGCTACACCACAGATGCCAAAGTACATAAATCAAGCCCACAGTTCAGCCCAGAGATTTAAAAAAGAAGAGCTCAGGCACTCACCATAGAGCTCAGGCAGTCACCATAGAGCTCAGGCAGTCACCACAGAGCTCAGGCAGTCACCATAGAGCTCAGGCAGTCACCACAGAGCTCAGGCAGTCACCATAGGAAAACTTCTCAGTCCCCTCACTATCAGACACAGATGTGATGACATCACCCAATAGGAAAATATGTCCTAAACAAAACTTTTAGAATATGTTCACTTCGGAGGCGTGTTTACGTGCAATCTTTGTTCCGGTGATATTTGGTCAACAAGTTGGATTTATTTCAACTCTCTACATATTATTACAAGATTAGCAAAAAGTTATTGACAAGGAGCTCTTCTATGAATTTCCCCCAACAAGAGAATAAAATCACCAAAACAGTAAAATCGTAAACACACCTGAAAAACAAAGACAAAAATGTTGCTTATATGTTTGCAATAAATACAAAGCGGAATATTACAACGTACATTAAAAATAAAACGTGGAGATGTTTGCAACAACTGAAAAAGTGTTGTTTTTTCCAACGAGTCATGCAAAATCCAAAATTTTTTGTTTATCATAGAGCTGAGTCTGGCTACTGTGAGCTCAACTGATGGAAACGTTTGGATAATCCAAAGATTTCAGAGAAAAAAAGCACACTCCTTACATCGTAACAACTGTCAACTCTCCCCCTCCCCCACCATCCTAAGACATTATCACTACCGTAAAAGAACAGAGAAGTTCCAAACACATTTCAAACCAACATATTTTTGAGCAATGACAATTTACATTCTCTTTCTGGTCAGTCTCAATTCATTATTTCTAATGAAAGAAAAAGGAGTGACAATGAAATGGACAGGCAGCTTTGTTTGTGGCCTGCCCCAACAACTGAACAACAGCCAATCATATCCTTGTGGGATACATTTGGGGAAGAAAACAGGGTGCAGGAATGGAAAATTCAAATGTGTTAGACATTAACTAAAATAAGCCCATCACCATCCTTGACCGATTTTTTTTTTTTTACATTATTGTTTCTCTTCTGTCCTTTATCTCACACTAGTGTATTTTCTTACCTCAGGAAGACAATTCATCCCTTAAGCTAAAGTATGTCCCTGTTTCTCAATTCCTGAACTTCATATCAAATGCAACGTGTGCCTGTATTCTTTCTCAGCAAATGAATAGTCATCTTTGTCAAATGAAATGAATGTCCAGTCCAGTGAACGGAAGAAGTTGAGGAGCTCAAATTCATTTTTAAAACCGTACATGTAAAAACAAATGGATTCTAGTATGTACTTGAAATTGAACCAACAACCTGTGACAATTAACAATGGGCTTAAACTCCAAATGCTTTATGGACATCAGTAACATAAGATCAGTAACTGAACACTGTTTAACACATCATGAAGAAATCTTGCTTTGACAATATTCTAAAGAAAGTCTTCTATAACAATGTCTGTACAATACACTTACAATACAAATGGCCCACCCCTAGCGAAAAACAACCAAACAACAAAATCCTTCTACAAAATATAAATCAAGTGAGGCAAAATAAAAGGCAAAATACAGGAGAAGGGGATGGAAAAAATGATTTAGCAAGTTCACATTTTTTATATGAATATGTGGAATATCTGCTAAGTAACAGGGCATGAAATTTCAACTGTAAACAAAACATCATGCACTGGCTTATGCAACAGACAGGAACGCAGCTTTCAAACGCATACTAGACTTTGGACCTTTCAGGCACCATCCACAATGACATTCAAGAACACTTTCACCAGAGAGCTGAAGAGGGTACTGTCAAGTTCACGGGGGTCAATCAATAAAAGTGCTTCGATGCGAACATGAAGCATACATAGCAGATTTCCCGACATGTGATTGTCAGCGACAGTGTGAATCAGCCCCAGAGGTGCAGTGCCCACAATCCCGTAAGAGCAACAAATAAACCCCCGTCTTTGCCCATCACCAAGACCACCGTTTCCTGTTCCAGCAAGACATAACTGTAACCCCACTGTGACCCCAGATGTTGCGCTCTAGGTAAAGAAGCAGTACAACCACGGGGCTATACTTTACTTTTACCCACCAACTAAGCAACTTCCTCTTCCAGCTTTAATCGCTTCCCTTTATTAGTGTCAACATCGTCAGCACAACGCTTGATTGCTCCCGACCCCGACTGGGAGTCCTGGTCAGAAAACTGGGAAGACGAGTCTTCTGAAGAGGTGGCATCCGGCTGTTTAAAGTCTTTGAGAATCGAATCAGTTGGTGTCGGTACCTCCGTGGTAACCTCTTCTGCGGTATTGACTTCACCAGTGAAAGAATCCAGAACTACGATGATACACGTCATGTTGTCGCATCCTGTGCCATCTCCGAAAGTATTTGGTGCCAAACAATGATCAAAGAGCTGTAAAAGAAAACAACAGACCAGCGGCTTGACCAATAAACTAAATCACAGGACATTTTTTTTTTTTTAATTACCTACCAATATCAGTTGTTGGAAAATTACTTCACACCATCAAAAACTACTTCCTTGTGGAAAAGGTTCTGAGAGTCTCAGTCTGAGAAAAATAACTTCAACAATTTGTGTAGAGGAACAAGCAAGTTTGAGAATCTCCACTAAATAAGTTCTTTAACTTTAACATTATTGATGAATAAAACAACTTCAACTGACAAAGAATCTGTTTTGATGATGAGATAGCAATATCTGCACACCATACCCCAGTACCTAAACTACCTTCTAAATTCTATTACAATTTCAGTTGAAATTGTTTAACCCTGGAGAAATGCAGGCCCTATATATAGGGTGTGAGTCGGGCTACCCGGGAAGCGCGCAGGCCCTATATAAAAAGCATAGATGCTGACCTTTTTCAAAGCAAAATTTCAGTATTTCTTACATGGAAAATGACGTAGTAAATTGCAGGACAAAGTTATAAATAGTGACCAATGATGTTGCAAGTTTTCTTTACCTCATAGAGCGTCTCTTGGCCTAAATATCGATCAATAAAGTGACGCGGTCCAGCTCAACGACTACACACTATGTGTTATCACTTGTTCCGCTGTGCTAATGTTCTAATTGTTGAGTTCATCGCTTTTTGCGCTTTGTTTGTATTTATTTGATTGCTTATTTTTGAATGGCTCATTCTATCAGCTTTGAGAAAAGATATGGTTTTATATGTCTTTCATCATCTGTTGAGCCGTAAATGGTCATTTTTCAATAGCAGGCACACATCTCTGATACCTCAGCTGATACCCCCCCCCCCCCCCCCCGGCCAAACCCCCATGTTTACAACCGATTGGCCGTGGCGGCCAGGCATTTTGGGCGAGTTACTTCCGGTGAAACGCCGAGCGCTTTTAGGGTTAAGATGGCCAGCCATTGCCAATTTTTAAAAAACACACCAAACCCGATTCCGCTTGTCTCTCAGAAAGCCGGTAGATGAAATGGAGCACCGTTTTTTTCCTAAGAAATCAGTGAAAATTCTGTTTGGCTGTACACGACACGACCCGACAAAAGACGTGTCGGTTGGAAAGCCGCTTGCTGCATTTTAGCCAGCCCAGGTGGTCACCCATCAGCCATGGGCCCCGCCGAAGCTTTAAAAAAATTCTAATTTTGAGTTCAGATTAAAAATCTAATGTCATATTCGTAATCAGCGCCCCAAAATTAGCAAAGTCTAGGCGCAAACCATGTGGTTTAAAGGCATATAAACAATTTTACCAATTTTCCTTTCAAACCCATACATTCCTTTTTCTCGCCTTGGGTTCATGTGACATCTCGACCATTTATAGCTCCGTTCAGAGAACACAGCGTGCCATGACAGCGTCTATTGTACACATCCGGGGAATAAGTAGACCAACAGACTACACGTGTCTTTTCCCAACTGTGCGGACACACAAGACGGAAACGACCCGACCAATTTCCCCCCTCCCGACAAAAAATTAGGTCATGTCTGTCCCAAATGGACACAAGCCCTAACACAGTGTCATTGTAATGTAAAAAATATACAAAAGGGAGAATGGAACGTGGCCGTTTATACAGGTGATTGACATAAACAGGTGGCCGTCAGAGCAGGTTTGACTGAACAAGATTTTTGCTGAATCCCTGGACACAAACAAATGTTAGAAACTTTTTGATTGCTGAAATGAAAGATTTCCTCACCTCTTCACAAACTATGGAGGGTTTTTTCCTTTTCTCTGGGTCTCTCAGCTTTTCCAAAACATAGTCTACAACTTCTTGACTGGACATGTAATTCCTGATGAGTAGATGGATATTTGAAATGACACATTGAAAAAGAAAATGCAGAATTAACAATACAACACACAAAAACATCCGACATAACCTACATGATGTCAATTTTCTAAAGCAGAGCAAGAGTTCACTCACGTTTCATTCTATCCAACATGCTGGAAAAAGACAGTAAACTTTTCCAAAGATACAAACACCCATTTAGAAACCAGACCAAACCAGAAGACAATTGCCCATTCACTTATGAATGCAAATGAAACAAAAGTTGTGCGCATGGAAATAAAATTTAAATTACTCACGCTTTGTTTATGGCACTTTGTTTATGACAAACATAAGCTGTAAAACAGAAACAAGAGAGTGGCATCCATATCTAGTAGTTAAGCCTCAGGACCCATAATGATGAGGTTATGGGTTCAGGGCTCGAGGTCAAACATGACAAACATAAGCTGTAAAACAGAAAGAAGAGAGTGGCATCCATATCTAGTAGTTAAGCCTCAGGACCCATAATCATGAGGTTATGGGTTCAGGGCTTGAGGTCAAACATAAGCTGTAAAACAGAAAGAAGAGAGTGGCATCCATATCTAGTAGTTAAGCCTCAGGACCCATAATCATGAGGTTTATGGGTTCAGGGCTTGAGGTCAAACATAAGCTGTAAAACAGAAAGAAGAGAGTGGCATCCATATCTAGTAGTTAAGCCTCAGGACCCATAATGATGAGGTTCAGGGAGGCTCCACTTGGTCTGACATTGTGTGCTTAGCAAGGGCACTTAAAGGGAATGTTCACATTTGGCTCTGTCCTGTCAGAGATAGGGGATCATTTAGGAGGTCAAGCTTCTTCTTGGGCTGATAAACCTAGACAATTTTGCACTTTTCGCCACAAGGGGCATAAAGTATCGAGTTGCAAGGCTTGTTCCATACAATATTGTACTGTGACAATGTGAAACTGCTTCTTGGGAACCAGTTTCTCAACAATTCCCACATTAATCACACATTCTAAATTCAATACTGGTGCTTGCAGGGCCATGATTAGACTCTTCACCTTGCACACAGAAGATGCCAGTTCAATTTTTTAAATGTGGGGATTTGATCTTTATCTTTCGACTAAGATATTGCATCCCATTCAGCTCTAACAGGTCAGGGCTGAAGCAATCTGTCATCTGTCTCTTTAAATGATCAAAATAATGTTGGCAGGAACTTAAAAAACATTTGCAATCATGATTTAGAATCATACGAAATTGTTGCAAATAAAAAGCCAACATATCTGAAAATGAGATGCAAGTCCTCCTCCCGTCAAACTCAAAGAGTAAATAAAAAGCCTTTCAAACAAAACTATCGCTCAGACAATAACACTGTCTTCCTTTTGACTGGAGCGACTCTTTAACGTTGTCATAACTTGAAAAAAAAAAAAAAAAGGGTTGATCATTAACTAACGGTACAGAGTAAGCACATGACACACACATACCAAATGCCGTCACAGGCAATCACCAGGAACTGATCATCTTCGGTCAATTCGGTTGTTTCAATGTCCGGTAATGCTGTGATCATCTGGTCTTTGGCTGGCAATTCCTTATTCCTCTTGTACACATGATCTCCTGTTAACAAAGTCAGTACACGCAATGAAAATATGGACTGTCAAAATTTACATTACAGTTACGTCTAGTGGAGACTTGTAAGTCATCTTTGAAAATGGAAGTAAAAAAGTAAGTCTTGTACTCACTTCTGATAATCACACGACATCGCAATAACATCCTTTAGTGTGTAAATGCAATCATAACGACCATTCATTTTCTTTTTTAAATGTTATTTTTATGCCCCTGTCAACACAATTTTAGATCATTTAGGAGGCAGGCTTCTGACCCTGCCCGTCAGGACCAACCAAGATCAAGAAAAGCTACAAAAAATTCTCCCCCTATCTGGAAGGTGTCCTGCACAAGACAGCCAAGAGCCTGCTACATCACAGTTGCCTGTTCTTCGATTCCACAAACACTTTATTTTCTGTCATATTTGTTTGCTAGGCTCAAAAAGAAGTTATTGAGCTATTCGGTACATATAGCAGTTTACAGTGAGTCAGCTCAAACAGGAAATTAGATAGAGACAATTGGAACAGTGAAAAAAAACAACAACACAACCCTGAGCATGCATAAACAAAGGCACCCATCAATAGAAAAACAAACATTAAAGTGTCTAGAGAAAATCACGCCCCTAACAAAAGCAAAATAGAACATTACCCTCTTTTACCTAAATGTTTCAACAATCCATACAAAAACTTTTCCCATGAACATGACAAGTATTTAATAATCATTGTAAGGAATGAAAAACAATTTGGATAGAATGATACCAAACTAAATATAAAAGCCAAAAAGATATAATATTGAAACCAAAATTGTAAAAACACAAATAGACATCTGAAAAAGAGCAGTCTTCAATTGCTTCTTCTAATCCCTTCACACCCCTCTCCCCACAGCCCAAATACACACTTTCAAGGTCAGTCACACACAAAGGCCTTACCAATTGCTCGGGACAGATTCAAGCCCCCATTGACACGTCCATCAGCAGTCACTTTGCCTCCCGCTTTCTCAATCCTTTCCCTTTCGCAGTCGTCCTCTGGCTTGTGGTCAAATGATAGCTCCACAGCTTTGCCGGCACGGGCCAGCACACATCTCGAGTCCCCAGCATTGGCCACGATCACTTTTTTGTCTTGCATCAGAACAACACAGGCAGTGCAGCCACTGTCTGAACCAGGCTGATTGGGAAAATGAGAACAAAATAAGAGAAAGTTGAAATAAATACCTGACGAGTTTAATTTAGTTTGAGTAAAGAGAAACACACTACACAGTAACGGTCACTCAGTGCAGCGAGAAAGCAAAACAGACATGTGCAACAAATTGAGAGAAAAGAAGAGAGCCCAACAGTTCCAACCATGACCATCTAAAAGATTTGAGAAAAGTACTTGTCAGTTACAGATCATTTAGATTCATCAATACTTTATGAGAAGAGGAGTGAAAGGTGTACTTCTCACTTCTCAGTAATCCCACTGAAGAATTTTCTACAAACACCCTCATTACCTTAGAACAGTTAATTAAAGGACAAGAGTTATTAAATTATTAATGCCATTCTGATCTTGCTTTGCACGGTGAACAAACAAATTTGGAGGTACTAATTTTTCTTGTGACAGCTGCAATGGTTCTTAGAGGAAGGACCAAGAAGATGGAAAAACCCATCATAAGCACTGAACAGAAGGAAAAGGGTGACGTTCTGTCACTATGGAATATCATCTACAGCACAGGTGTCAAACTAAAGGACTGCAGGCTGCATCCAGCCCAGCAAACAACCTGTCACTATGGAATATCATCTACAGCACAGGTGTCAAACTAAACGACTGCAGGCTGCATCCAGCCCAGCAAACAACCTGTCACTATGGAATATCATCTACAGCACAGGTGTCAAACTAAACGACTGCAGGCTGCATCCAGCCCAGCAAATAATTACATCCCGCCTGCAAGAATAAACAAACTTGTTGCCAAAAAAATAATAATTGTCAAATATCCAGCTCTAACAAACGGGCATAAGAGTGAATATAGGTATTCCTTGATTTACTATTATTTCAACTTTTGTCTTTGTTCATTCATATTGCTGTTTTAAAAAATTAAGCTTCACACTGCCAAATAAATGTTGATCCCGTTAGACCCACAACTTTTAGTGTGACTTGAGTTTGACCCCCTGTGCAATTGAGTTAACTATCTTGTCTTCTAGTCACAACTCAAAAACCCTTCTTTAAGTTGCAGAAACTTGACAAAATGTACTTCCTCTCTATCATACTCACTTCTTCATTTGACATATCCATTAAAGGCACATCTTCATCATTTTCATTTTCTTCCTCCTCTTCATCATCATCGTCGTCGTCGTCGTCATCATCATCACTTGAAAAGACAAACGATTGTAAATATATGGGCTGCATTTAACGAATGGAAATACAATTTTTGTTGCTGTACATAAAAAGGAGCATGGACTGAAACAAGTTTGCTATTAAAAAGAAAATCATATTACTTTATAAATGTTTGAAAATTAGGTTGTTTGTTGTTTACAGGACATTGAAGGATCCTTTGTCGCCAAAATAAGAATATCACAAAATTTGTACTTTTGAGTGCCCATGTCAGTCACCAAGTAACAAAGCACACGAATCAAAGGCCAATGAAAACAATGTACCTCATATCTTCCCACATATCGCCTTCCTCTTCATCGTCGTCATCATCGCTAGAATCCATCGCCCCATCTAGAGCAATCTCAGCAGCTGCCTTTATTTTACTGGACCGCGCACCAGAGCCAGAACCAGAAGCAGACACTTCCTCCTGAAACACAAGTACATGAGACACTGGTTAAAGTTTGCTTAGCTTGAACGTGGACAGGCACATCTCTACATCTCTACTGGTTGATGGTCATTAAGAGCAAGGAAAAGAAAAAAGAGTGACAGGCAGGGAAAAAAAAAAAACCACAGAAAGAAAAGAAGTTGTAACCACCAGTGGTGCGCTCCAACATTGCGTATGGGACACATGAGGCTTTCTAAGTTTACAACCTTGAAGAGAACCACAATGAACAGTTTCAAAAATCCATAAAGATTCCTAATTTCAAAACAAACAAAATTCTTATAGTATAAATTATTTCAAATGAAGAGTCCATTGGAAAAACGAGCTTAGTCACAACAAACTGGAAATTTTGAGGGTGTCAATTTTAATAGCTTGTGGGCTCATAACTTTATACTTGTTAGATTGGTGGTTTATTGTTATGTTTGTTCAATGGTAAATCTAACAGCAATAATTAACGAACAGTTGAACAGATACAATTTTATGAGTCAACAAGTGGTTAAAATTGATATCCTCACGATTTTCAGTCTGCGACTATTCCAGACTTTCCCGTGGACTCCACAAATGTCGCCTATTTCTTCTCCACTTCAAGACAACAACAAAACATAATAGTACCAGTTTCAAGTGGCACAGATGTATCTTTCTTTGGTTTTAACTTAATTTTCAATATGCAATTAGATTCGAACCTGCTATTACAGCCACCTGTAAGAATGGCCACGATCCATTCCCCCCTTTTGTTTTTTCTATAAAATAACACTAAAAAAAAATGACAACTTGTCCAACGCCACCACAGCCACGATATTTTATCAACTAAAAACAAAACAAAAAAAACCCTGTCCTAGATGGTCAAGCCCAACCCTTTGTCTTAAGTCATATACTGGCCCCTGATGCTGTTGACAAGGTGTCATAATCCATTCACCTGTCGTTACTGTTAGTCCCTCCAATAAATGAACCGATCATGTTGCGTAGGTCCCTCCCACTGTCTACCCAAGTGACCACTCAGTAAAAATTTTCAGCTGCCGGTGAAGGAGATGTTGTGATCCATCATAACCTGCAAGCCTTGTCTTCAACTCTGACAATGCCAAAATCACAATTGAGAGGAGCAGTCGTTCTGTTTACCCAGTCCATAGCAAGGACATCAACATGAACTTGAGACAGAAGTCTTTTTTTTTTTCAGTAGAGGTTTTACGGCGCTCGCAACTGCATAAGGTCATATGAGCGCCAGAAGATTAGAGGTGTTACAAGGGAGTAACAAACATAAAAAAGGAGGGGAGCTAAAGGCGATAGATGTGTGATAGGAACGAAGGAGCAAACCACACCAGAGCACCCGCAAACCAACCACAAAATTTGTTGACACACAAACACCAAATATATATAATATATATCAGCAACAAACTCACAGTTTTCGAACGAGACCCAGAGCTCCCAGCATCAGTACTACTGTCTGCTGCAGAAGAACTGGCCACAGCACTGGCATCTGATGACTTCACCGAGGAAAGGGCAGCGCTGCTACCGCACTCAGTCGTAGAAGAAGGCTCACTTGTTTTATCTATGTTATTGTTATTAGTCCGACTATTTTTATCCTCTTCATCACGCTCACTTTTGTCTGTTTGGGAGGAAACTGTCCCATTAGAATTCTTATCCTCTAATCCGTTTGGCACGGGATTAGAGCTAGGGCTCAACTCTGCTGCAGAAGACGATGAAGACGATGATGAAGACGATGATGATGGGACACACGTGGAAGCAGTATTTTGTGAAGATGATGACGACGCAGATCCATTTCCCACCCCTTGACTAGAATCTCCAGTAGCCACCTTGGATGTTCCCTTTCCTTTGAGAGCTGGATGTGCCCCACTGGTACCAGCACCTTGAGGGTCCTCAGGCTTGGTCATCTCGTACTGTGCAAGCAGCTCATCTAGAGGCATATTAGCTTCCTCCTTCAGTCTGTCTGTTTCTGTTCGTCCTACAGGATCATCTGATGAGTCATGGGAACCAAAGCTTACAATGAGTACACACTTTCAGGTGTAAAAACAACAGAAATATCCAAACAATATATTCAAAAACATCTATGAACAAACAAAATTGAATCTAAAGCTTCCTTGAAAATAATCTAAAATATGGTGCCCCTGGACTGAGACTGCCAGTCCAAGAACTCTGAACAGAGTATAAAAGTGCTAATGACAGTGAAAGCACGTGTGCACAATTTAGGTCTTCAAAATTTCAAACCCCTTTTGGGATAGCCTATCAATTTACCCCCCCCCCCCAAAAAAAAATCCTGCTTCTCCTATACAACCCCAGTTCCAGGAAAGAAAAGGATATCTTAAGTCAGGTGCAATATAATATTGTTGGTGTTTGAATGTGTGTGCAGTATCTTTTTCGTTGTTTGTTTGTTTGGTTTTTTTGGAGAGAGGGAGAGGGAGAGAGAAAGATAGAGAGAAGGGGAGGGGAGAAGATGATCGCTATTATGATATATAGAACCATATGGTGCTCATGGTCTTTGTATTGTTCGATGAGAAATTCACATTACTTCACTTATCAAAAAGTGCAAAATTAATTTGCCACAGCCCAGAAAAGAGGCATCATTCAATGATTCATGGAGAATTGCTATGTCGTGTGTGTCCAATTTGCCAAAAATCAGAATCTATTCTCATATTTATCAGTGTTATTCATTTTCCGTTTATTGTGGTATTCTAGTGAGAATAATTTTGTTTTAATGTTTTTCTATAACAGTCAAAAGAAAGGAACCATACCCTCATCCTCCTCATCTTCATTATCATCTTTTCCTGCAAGCTCCTTCAGTTCTTTGATGACATCATCTTTAGTAAGGGTGGCATCAAATGCCAGGAATGCACTTTTGATGATCTTTCCCGGATCCTCTGTCTTTTCTTGTGAATTGATGAGAAGTTTAACAAAATCTGGAAAATGCCTCTCGCAGTACTTGGCAACCTCTGATCCTGTTGATGATATCATGAAGTAGGACATGCTGTCAGAAACCAACATCTCAAGTAAAGACACAAATCTACTTGAGGCAAGATGCAAACCTTCAACATGGAATCTCCTCAATGGTAACAGCAAATCATCTGTTATAGTAACAATGGTAACGGCAAATCATCTGTTATAGTAACAATGGTAACGGCAAATCATCTGTTATAGTAACAATGGTAACGGCAAATCATCTGTTATAGTAACAATGGTAACCGCAAATCATCTGTTATAGTAACAATGGTAACCGCAAATCATCTGTTATAGTAACAATGGTAACCGCAAACCATCTGTTATAGTAACAAAGAAAACAAGAAACTGTATGTAGTGGGACTGAATTTGGCCTTCTTCTGTTCAAGCAACACCTCTAAACCTAAAACCACGCTAAATCTGAAAAACTTTGGTGTTCTCACAAATTTTGGTTTAACCCCTTCGATGTGCAGGTAAATAGGCCCCTGTGCCGGGGGAAATCCCATGAATCAAGGCTGCTCAGGGGTGACCCCACTCTACCTCCCGTAACTTTTTAAATTCATATTTTCTCAAGAATTTCTGCATGTACATTCAGCATTGAACCCCATTTCTATTGATATAATTTTGGGGTGGCTTCATAAGGAGATAGATGGAGAAAAGTCGGCGTTACCAAAAAAAAGGGGAATACATGTTGTGTGAATGTCTGCAGGTAAAGAGGAAGTGACAAGAGGCTTTTCCTACCTTACACAACGCTTGTACAATCCACATATATATATATGTGTGTGTGTGTGTGAGGTAGCGTGCTGGAATCAGGCTCCCGTCAATTTTTGGGCATATAGAGTTATTGGCATCATCTTAAAGCTTCTTCACTCGTCTTTATTTGGATGAAAAAATTATCCATTTACCTTGAATACAAATCGAGAATTTGCAAAAGAAGGAGGTGGGGGTTATCTGTTTTCAGAGATAAAATTAGTGAGAAAACGGCCGCCAAAGATTAGTTATTTCTTTAGCTTAAGAGTCCGTGGTCATTTTTTGCGTATTTAATCAACGTGTTTCAGAAAAATCCACACAGAAATGAGTTCTTTAAATTACATGAAAGGTGTTGAGCCAAAAAACAAAAATTTGATAAAAATTCACAAACCTGCGGAAAAATGCATGTTTCTTCGCTCGGATTATTTTGACAAGAGCCTGATTCCACCACACTGCCTCACACACACACAAACACACACACACACACACACACACATATAATATATATAAACAGCACTGTACAGTTACAAATTATGCGCATGTAAAGAACTCTTTTAGTCTTATAACAAGAAACTGAATATATACTTCATAAATGTAGTACAATTCTTACCTCCATGTCCATCATATACAGCAAAGAAGGATGTCTTTGATTTTGAATCAAACTCTGGAATGCAGTTATGGGCATCCTGGCCAGAGAGAAAAGGTTGGAAGACAATGAATAAATATACAACTTTTTGCGTAAAACAACGTCATCATCTTTCACATTTGGACAAATTACCATTTCATGATATAAATAGATCCAGAAGAACAAGGACACGACCATATAAGATCCAAGTCACCCATCCTGGAGAGGAACAACGGATATCAATTGTTATAAACACTATACACATTACGCTATAAAAACATATTTATCACCGAAACAGGAAAAATGGGATGGTGTCAAAATATCTTTTTTCATTCAGTTGCGCTAAAATTTCTCCCTCTGGTTGGGCAATGATTTAAAAAAGCATCAAATATGATTATTTCCATCAGGAAGCAGGGTTTTGTGTAAAAATGAGCTCATTTGAAAAGTATGAAAAGGTGTTTGCATTGAAAGATGAAAGTCCATCTATGGTCCCTACAAGTTTGATTTATTCTGCCATGATGAACACCCAGACTTTCAGATGAATGCTATATTGGCGCATGACGTCCTTTTGATGTTTCATTTTCTTTTTTGTCGCCTTACAATCATTATTATTAGTAAAATATTAATTATGTATGTTTGTTTGTTTGTTTGTTTATTATAGGGTTTTATGGCGCTCGCAACTGCATAAGGTCATATGAGCGCGCGGGACACACCTAATACTTTTTCGTTGGTGGGAAATTTTGAATTTTGCCCGGGTGGCGACCGAAGCCTACTCTTATCGATTTTAGACCACCAAGGGATCTTTAACGTGCGCAACTTGCACACAGGCCCTCCGAGATTTTTCGCCCTTGTCCGAGAAGGCTAGGTGTAGATCTTTCCTACCAGAAGATCAGGGGTGTTGCAGAAAGACAGCAGTTAGGAGGAGCCAAGGAGTAGCAGTAGAAAGGTTGCAGAAAGAGTCAGGAGCCCAGAGGAGGGGGCAAAGGAGGTGAGGGGGTGGGGGCAGAAAGTGGAAATGAAAGCAGACAACAGAACATTGTTAGAGATCAGGAAAGAATGTGAAAGGAGACAATTTTAGAAAAGACAATTTTTTGGTCGCTACCCGGAATCGAACCTGGGACCTTTGAATGAGAGGCCAACACCTTAACCTCTAGGCCACGAGAGCCCCCATTATGTACGTACTGTGGTTGGACTTTGCTTACTTTATGACACTGGGTACCACTATGACAAGTGGAAAATTACGTTGTTAAACATGTCATGCTGATTTTTGCCATGCAACTCTCTCCAAGTGATTTTTTTTTTGGGGGGTGGGGTGTAATTGTTTTACGGCACTCGCAACTACATCATAAGGTCATATATGAGCACGCAAGACAGCCTCCTAATTAGGACCGGTATCGTATCGTTTCGTGTCTTTTAGCGTCTTTACGTGTCTATTCACGTCTTTTTGCAGTTTTGTAAAACCGGGTGAATAGGGCCTACATCATAGCACCCCGGGTAACTTTTGTCAAAATCAACAAAGTAAAACCAAAGTTAATTAATGTTTTAGATTAGAAAAATCAACAAAGTAAAGCCATAGTTAATTAATGTTTTAGATTAGATCTAGATTTACTAAGTTTGTAGCTGTATTATTAGTGTTATTCATTAGTTCATGCCCTATCATCATCATCATCACTCTGCGCCCCTCAGGGACTCATGCATGCAGGTCTAGATTCATTTGTCAGTGCGATCACTCATCATTTCATTCCGTTCTACATCACCGTCTTGTGTTTTCCATTTCATTTCAGTTGATGTCGTCATCACTTGTAACCCCGTTGAATTATTAAAAGTTCATTGATGTTATCCGACAAGTGATGAGTCATTCTTTATGAATATATTTAACATCTCCTCTGGCTCTGGTCTTTATTTAAAGCAAGTGGCTATTCTCCGGCGTCATGTATACTCGCTCATGTCGCTTCTCTTCAGCTTTCCATCTCCCCTGTCGGGCACGTTATGGCCAGTATAGTATTGTTGCAACTGAGTTCAGTGCCAGATGCATCTTCTTGTACATCTGGTAGTGACTGAGGCTTGTTGGCACTTCTGGTGCTGTCACCTCTGACATAGAAATTCCTCCTTATTTCGTCACTGGAGCTTTCATGAAGTAGTGGCTGCGTGTCCACCAATGGTGAATCTCATTCTGAAGAAATGCCGACCCTGATGAGTGTTTGTTAAGGCCATAATGTGCCGACAGGGGAGATGGAAAGCTGTGGAGAAGCGACATACCTGTGCAAATATACATGACGCCGGAGAATAGCTATCGATCTATTGACCGGCACGGAGCGGAGCGGGAGAATAGCCACTTGCTTATTGGCTTATTTAAAAACTATCAAAACTTCTCAAAAAAATAGTAAACTAGATAATCATAATGCTGAATGATAGCCTAATAAAAACAAGATAATTTCTTGGTAAATTTGGCTGTAGTTATTCGCACAGGGTGTGTGAATACTATGAAATTTTATTCGCACAGGGTGTGCGAATACTATGAAGTTATATTCGCACAGGGTGTTTCAAAAGAAGGATGGAAATTGGGCCTACCATTTCCTCTTTTTTTCCCCCCTCATCGCGCAAGGACAAAGATCTTAGGGGCTGGATTGAACCAGAGAGTTGATTGAACTTTGGTGGACCCGCCGTGTTTTTATGTATTAATGCGCACTAGGCAAACAACGGACTTATACTTAGGCCTATACATTCATGGGTCCTAATCGACCGCTACGCGAAATAGTTCCCGCCGACGCGAGGAGGAGTGAGTGAGGGCTGCGAGTAGTACTAGCTGCGAGAATACCACGAGAGAGAGAGAGAGATAGAGAGAGAGAAGGGGGGACGAGACAAAGTTGTAAACGGACCTGCATTTTATTATCCGAATCACTGAAGAGATCGAAGTCCGGAATATCTAGGCGTCGGATGAGGACGTTTACCGCAGGAACAGGCGCAGGGTTCTCACTATTATATTAGTATTACTTGATCCCAGCCACTGTTTCTTTTTAAGGGGAGGCAGTGGAGGGAGACCAGAAGTGGATGATGGACCACCAGGTTCCTGATTTTCTTGATTACATGTCGTAGGCTTATTTTTGCTCCTTTTCTCTTGAGGGGGAGGCAGCGGAGGGAGACCAGAAGTGGAGGATGGACCAGCAGGTTCCTGTTTTTCTGAATTAGTAGTAGTACGCTAATTTTTGGTGGACCGCACCTTCTGCACTTAAGTTATTAGGATACTTATAGATCTAGTATTCGACATTCAGGGGGGGGGGGGGGCCTGCCACATGCAAATCATTTATAATAAACAGAAAAGTGGACCAGGAACATTTTATAGTTTGCTCTGCCCAAGAACTTTACTTTATAGTGGACCCACATTGCCAGCCTAGGCTAGGTTTAAGAGGTACCATGAGACTAATTAGAGACGATAGAGGCACGGGTGAAGTTTACCAGACCAGTGAAAAGAGGGGGAGACATGGTGGAGGTATCTAGATTTGTTTCTAACGTGTACTGTAGCTATGCTGTCTTCTCAATTCAGTTCAGACTTTTTCTTCTCTTCGCTTACTTGGGCCAAGACTTGTCCGTAGCCTAGATTCTAGGAGAAATGGAGAATCGGGAAGGATTTTTACCTGTCCTGTACCGTGGTCTCCATCCGTATTAGATCTAGATCTAATATACATGATGAATAACAAGCAAGCATAGAATGACCATTCCTTTCTTTTTTAAAAATTCTTCCACTCACACCAGAATCTACTCTTAAATATCTAGATCCACATTAGATAAAGAAAAATACATACATATGTGTATAGTCTGTATTTAGTAACCCATCATCATCATGCCCATGTAGATCATAGTGGGAACAATAGATCTAGACATCTAATGGGCATGTCTGTTCTCAGTGTCACTGGGAATAGTTTCTTGGCCTCATCCAAGTGACACGGGAACAATTCTGGCCTATTCCTAGTGCTTTCCAAAATTAAAAGCCTTAGCCTAAAACTAAAGGTGGGATACCTGGGTGTGACAAATGAGGTCCAAAATCAACTTTATGTAGTAACTCTGTAGTAATACATCATACTATTTATGGCCGAATGATTGCAGTTTTACTTTTAGGGACTGTTCACAAAGACCCCACCCCTCTTGTCACCTTTCCCAGGACACCCCCCCCCCCCCCTCAAGTTGCCGTCAACCAAAATTATGTACACATGTGTACGTTTAGATAGAACTTGTACAGGGTGCATTTGCACCTTTGATTTTTTTTTTTATTGTTTATTAATTTAAAGAATACAATAATGGTGGTGCTGCCCCTGCTTGCGGCTTGCACTGGAACCGGATCGACTGGTACACGTATACAGTACAGCACTCAAGGGGTCTGTTTGGCCAATTTTGGTGGATCGTGTCACCACAAATTTTGTGTTAGTACTTTCATACTCTTTCAGAGCCTCTGTGAACTCTGAAAAGCTCTTGAACTTGGCTCCCACGTCCATGCTGAATAGATCTAGAAAAACTAGAACTAGATCTAGGTGTTGAGTAATTTCAGATTTGCGATGCAATAGCCTTGGGGCCAACAGAACGCTACTGGCAAGGTTCCCTCAGGGCTCTGTTTTGAAAAATGAAAATGCCACGCAGGTAAACTTATTATATAGGCCAAGACTGCCTAGTTTCGCGGACTCTCGCGGCAATTGCCAATCTCGCGCAGCGATCTCGCACAGCGTTCGCAGCACGCAACGATCTCGCGCAGCGCACAGGTCGGGTCGACCCTGTGCAAATATAATTATTTTTTATTCGCACACCCTGTGCGACTAATATTAATTCTTATGCGCACACCCGGTGCGAATAATATTATTTCTTATGCGCACACCCGGTGCGAATAATATTATTTCTTATGCGCACACGCGGTGCGAATAATATTATTTCTTATGCGCACACCCAGTGCGAATAACCACTTACCGTGACTTACGGTAAATTTATAGAAACACTCCCATGGCAATTGACAAAAATGGACAGCAGCGTCAATTGCCACCGAGTAAATTGGAGCTCTTTTGCGTTGGTGAGTAGATCTAGCCTATTGTGCTTGATTGCTCGGTGTTGTGCGTTCGCCTTTCTGTCCCTCTGTCTGTGCATGTGTCTTTTCCTGACCCCCGTCCCCCAGATTTATGTTCCCAGCTATATAAAATAAATTTCTGCTTGAGTTTGTGTGCGTTTGTAACCTTCTACTTTTCTAAAATTGACTGTATTGGTTCTACACCGAAGTGTAGGCTAAGGCTAACCTAGATCGAGGCCTAAGTCATAAGTCTCATTGAAATCACGCCAAGTTGGTACCATAACCGTAGCCCTCTAGACTAGATCTAAAATCTAGATCTAGATCTAGATCTAGATCTAGATCTAGATGCTCGTCCAATGAAATTAGATCCGCCCAAGTAGAGAAAAAATTTACCCATTAGACACACATTATGAATAGAAAGCTAAAGATAGTGTTGTTCTCAGACTTGACACCGCTTCACTCAGTCTCAGTGGTCAGTGGCAATTGACGTTTCTGTCAATTATTGTCATTTGCCACCGCTTCGGCTTCACTCAGTGGCGAATGACGCTACCGTTTATAAACATAGACTATACTATAGCCTATTCCATTGAACAGCATTAAATAGTTAAAAGCAAAGGCATTTCACTTAAAACAATCCCTAACAACTAAACCTAAATAAGTACAGCTACTATCGTCATCGTCATCACGGAAGGGTCATCACAACATCAGATTCAGACGAATTTTAAGACGAACCTCTTGAGTTATCCTCCAACCTTGCATCGACGAAGCGCCATAGCAAAAACTTGCACATTGTTCATCTATGGATTCTTTCTCGGTTATAGGTGATGAAAGGTATACTCCCATCTTGAAAAGTGTAAATCAAACAAAATATGTTCAATTCATCCCTGAATTCAGGTAAACGAACTGTGCATCTACACGTGAAAATGTGCGTCGTCCGCGGAAACACCATTAATTTACCGGAAGTTTATAAAGTAGAGCTCTTTTGGATATGAAATACACAAATGGAAAGAGAGAACAATGGAAAACGCGTCTTGCACTGCAGTGCAGGCCAGACTGCAAAAACGAAAAATGAGGTCAAACTAGGCTACCCCTGCCCATCTCCCCC